TGAAGCAAGCATAAAGAATAATGCCCCCCTAACGCAGTCCGATATTAATAATTGGGGAAAGGTCTGCAGCAGTTTCTTTATTACCGATATACGGGGGGTTATATTGCCGAATTTCGAATCCTCTTGGAATTTTATATATCCAAAATGGATTTCCTATATATTAGTACCTTATAGTAGTGCAGCATACTCTAAAGTATGGAGACGTAGTTGAGATTCGGATCAGAAAGGTTTCCGTATACCTGTTCGGTAAGGTTAAAATTGGATCAAAATCCATCATGATTCGATAGGAGCATATCCTAAGTTCCCGAAATCGCCTTACAAAGCGTGCATCTCTAACCCTAGGCGATCTAATTGTGATGCAAGTAATATTTGCATTTGGCCAGCGTGTTTTGCACCACAAGGCATACAATATGGCTAACGCTCTGCCGAGGCTGTGGCCACAGACTTCGATATTACTTGGTTGCTGCTCTTCTATTAGTCTGTTAATCTGCAAAGTTAACTTATCCTGCAGGTTATTAAAAGCAACTAGGAAGCCTATGTGCACACGTATATCTCGAAGGTTTGCAGCACTATCCCATTTAATGCTACTTATCCTAAAACTTAAGTCTATCAGGGCATTACTATAGAGTCCCCGCTATCTTTTTATCTTTGCCTAGTTCTGCATAGTCAAGGGGAAATCGGTTCCTCTAAATGCTAATACCAGAATTCTCCTATTGCAAATACCTAAGTACACATGCATATTCTACCTGATAACGTTCTATAAGATTAGGCCCTTATCTTATAAGTATTGGGCGCTAATAGGTCTATACTCTAGTTCATATACGTGGTATCTAAACTGCCTTTCGTTATAATATGCCTACTTGGCATATGCCATAGGACGCCTAATGCGATTCGTAATATTAATATCCTGTTAGTTTGCCATTACTGTTGTTGTAGTTCTTTGCGTCCTAGTTATCTAGCTTTCGATAATAATATTAGAGTTTATATATAGATAGATATATATATTAATTTAGTGCTAAGTTATTAAGATTGTGAGAAATAGTGGTCGAATTTGGGCTTAGGCCGCTAATTAAAATGGTTCTCAAATCCACAGGGAGAATACCTGGTGAAATGCATGTTTAACTTTTAGGGAAAGTAATATAAAGTATATAAGACCTTTTCTAGTATATTTTATATACTAAAGGTTAATAAGTAGATGCAAATCTGGTAAAATGTGTTATAGATATATATTATAATATCAGGCAATTTTTATATATATAATATTAAGTTTAGTAAGTTATATAGTATAGCTTTACTAAAAGCTTCTTTAAAAGACTAAGCTATCCCTTTACCGAATTAATTCTCCTAATACTACCTTAATTAATAGCATTAGTTGCCCTATAAACATATCTCTACTTGGCGCGAAAGTTAATGAAGTTCATAACCGCCGCATAATATAGCATATAAAAGGTAACGCCCTTCAGCAAGTAAATACTCCAGAACCTCTAGCTATATAGCCATACAGCATGCCCTAGGCCTTTGCTAAAGGCTAATAATATTCTAGCTAAGAAGTAAGCAAGACTTCGGGATAGAGAGAGCATCCTGTAGATCCCATTACGGGCCTGGCTAACAGGTAGACTATACATAACTAGTGGCTTAGGATGCTTAAATTGCAGGATATAGTGCAAAAATAGTAGGAATACTATCGTCGATTAAGCAGTCAGGATATATATAGTAGCTCGAATTATTACCTATATGCTGCTGGCTTGATAGAGAGGCAAATAGGCTTTTATACCTTATATAATAGGCATGGCGGCTCCTACTGTGATTATAAGTCTGGAAGGGCTCGAAAAGGGTCTAAATTTAGCCGCATTATAATAAAATCTAGGCAGTTTAGACTTAGTAATAGCCGTCGATCTGGCATAAGTGGGGATCAAGAATACACTCCTGAGCATGCTGTAGCGCTTGCTTTGCCCGGAGAGCCTCCAATTGTTGACTCTTCCGTTTTGCCTAGTCCTACAGTCCAAAATCAATTGTTGTATAATTGATTTAATTTACTCTACTTTACAGGGGGTAGAATTGAATTTCGAAAAATGGACTAGCGTTGGGGTAAACTCGATTTTGACAGGGGGTTGACTTGGATTTCTGATTGGTGCTTGGTTACACGTTCAGGCAAAACAACACTTTAACAGCAGCGCGTCAAGTTCTGATTCTAGCTTGCCAGCCCCTTTCGCGGCAAATGTGACAGCCAGCCAGCAATTACTATTGATTTTATTAAGAAATAATTTATCAGACCATGGCATTCGACCCTATGACAGAGCTTGGCCCTTCTAACCCTATATACCCGTTTATGCTTCTGTCTAAGTATCGGATTCTTGTTTGTCAGAAGTGCCAGCATGCTTGCTTGGCTAGAGAAGTTGCCACTCATCTTGCCAAAAGGCATCCTGGAATAGACCCTGATGGCATTGTTTATGTCGATAGCCTGCCGATGATTAAATTTGTATAGGAAATTTCGTGGCGCTAGCAAGATATAGGTATTGCAATAATTAAAATAAGCAGGTGCTAATAATTAGCATTTTAGGCGCTATAGTAGCTATAGTAAGTTTAAAATATATAAGAATATAAAAAAAATACTTATAAATTAATTAATATTAATATTAGTATATAAACTTGTAATATTAGTAACTATATAATAAATTTACTTTAAGGTTATTTTTTTTATAGTTATTAGGTAATAGGGTTTATAAATATAAATTAGTTTATTATAGCTAACTAAAGCGCGTTTTTAACTTATAAAGTTTAATAATAGCTATAGCTATATATCTTATTATAATTAGGTTATATTTAGCTTAAACTGCTAATATAAAATAAAGGGGTTTAAGAAAGGTATTAATACTATAAAATAGCTTATAATATATAAAGGCTAAGTTAAGACTTTAATCTTATTAAATTTATTTATAATAAAGTACTTTATATATAAGTTAAAACTCTAGCTTCTTTACTACTATATATGCCAGACTATAGTTATGCAAAAGTAAGTAAAGCTATATCTTTATAATACTTTACATAGTCTTAACATTTAGGAGATTAAGCTTATATAAGAGTAGGCATCTAAGTATAATATCTTTAAGGATTAGCTAGAGGCCTATATTAATCTACTACTTAAGCCTAATAATACACTACTAATTACAGCTTTAAGTCTGCTAGGTATAAGAGGTATTTAATATAAGCTTATCCTAAAGTAAAGTATATTATCTTAATTAAATTGCCTATATATAAGTATAAAGTTAAGGCAGATTTAAGAATATTTTAGGATTAAGTATAATTAAGATATAAAACTTAAAGGTAGATATTACCTAGCTGCTATAATAAATAAAGAAAGGAGTAATAGTTTATAAAGAATAGGAGTCTGTTATTAATAATTATTCTTTAGTAAGCTAGGAAGTAAGTTATTTAAGGTAATAAAAGGACTAAATCTTAAATAATTAAGGGCCTAAAATAATAAGTTATAAGCTGCACTCTAGAGAGCTATTAATGCATTTTAAAGTAAGGGTAAAGATATTTAAAGTTAGGAAGTAAAGTATATTAATAAGGAGAATAACTTTACTGTGCTAAATTTATAGCTTTATTAGCTTAGTTTTGCAATTTACTTAAAGGATTTTAGTAAGAAAAAGGACTTCTTAAGGGGCTTAATTACTATAAAGTATAAAGTAGATTTAGATAATCTAGATAAGTTAGATAATACTTAACTGCAGTTTATATATATTACATTTAATTAGCTAGTTAACTATACTAAGGCTAATATTATATACTAACTGACTTAAACTAGATACTAAATATAATGTAAAACTTATTAGCATAGTAAGAAACCATATATTAGGAGCTTAAGACTTGCCTTACTTATATATCTATTAGTTCTTCTAGCTGGTTGTTAGTATATTTGTCTTGGAAGTTGATGACCTCGTCGTCGGTCCCAAGCATTGCAGCCAATTAGAATTTAGCGGTCAAGATGTGACCGTTTTTGGATATATGGGGCTCTCTTTCAGCCAATCGTGAATTTCGTGGTCAAGATCCATCCATTTTCAGAAGCGAATCGTGCTATTTCATATAGAGCCTAGCGCATCAGTCCAAAAAACTAAGCCGAAAGGGAGGGAGACCTGTTAATTATCCTTCAATCTGTGCGAATTTTCTTGTCGGCCGTGCTATTGCATGAGTTAGAACATCAGAATACCGATCCGCCCTACTCTTCTATTCCTAATTGTCGTGTACCCCTAATTGTCGAATACCCCTGTCTATCCCCTAAATCCATGTCTATCTCCTGTCTATTCCCATATCATCTATACTATAGCGGATGATTCGTCCTATTTTAATCGACGACCTGCGCATGTATTATACACGTATAAACGCGTACTTAAGTTTTCATACGTTATATACACTCTTTACTATAATTTCAACGCGAGGTTTCTACTGTGCGTAGTCGTGGTGGTAATTCAACGAATTACAACAAATCTGGCCCGTGTACGTTGCTGGGTTATCTATGTACGCGTTATGATGTTTTTATCTCATTAAATTACTGCATAATACGCGCTTAGTGTTATTTATAATTGCTTAAGTATAGACAAAAGTCTTAGATTATCCCTTTTCAAGTGCGTATTAGTGTCCTTTACGGCCTAGTACTATTAGGTAAGTATTAATTCTAGCCGCTGCTTGGAAGTGAGGTTAACGGTGCCGGGATATATCAGTTAACTTACTATTTGCAAATAGTATCAACCGCAAGCATGGCTGCTATCGCATAAAGCATTAAGCTCGCTGTCCTGGTCGATGCGGATAATACCAGCCCTAACGCAGTGTGCTTTATATTGGCAGAGATTGCCAAATTTGGCACTGCTTCTGTTAAGCGCGCCTATGGTGATTGGACTAGTCCCGGCTTAAACCGATAGAAAACACCTCTCCTTGAGAATTCGATATAGCCGATGCAGCAGTTTGCATATACTACTGGAAAGAATTCAACAGATTCAGCCATGATAATCGATGCCATGGATCTTCTGTACTCCAAAAATTTTGATAGCTTCTGTATTGTCTCGAGTGACAGCGACTTCACTCGACTCGCTTCACGGATTCGCGAATCTGGTCTCGTCGTTTATGGCTGTGGAGAGCGCAAGTCTCCCAAAGCATTCGTTACAGCTTGCGATAGGTTCATTTACGTCGAAAATCTTATGCCAACAACAAAATCTGCGCGACCAGTTGGCTCAGATGGGCCATCTAGCGCAGCAGGGCTATCCGCGTCGTCAAGCTCCCTTCCGGTCCACACATTGCTGGCTAAGCGGAAAAGGGTCGAAAGTAGATTGGAAAAGGAGGCGTCTATTGACGCCCAAGCTGTTAGTTCTTTGACGATTGAAACTCGGGAGGTTAATGAGGAGGTAATTGACTTACTGTGGGAAGCCGTTGAAGTAGCAGCAGATGAAGAGGGATGGGCCGTTCTTTCGAAGGTCGGGTCTCTTATTACGAAATGGCATCTAGATTTTGACTCTCGCACCTACGGATTCAGAAAGCTAAAGGAGCTACTGGCATCCACCTCCCTCTTCGAATTTACCCACCGCAGCCCTAGACTAGGAAAGCCAGAGCTAGCATATGCACGTTGCAGTGTTGAATAATGGGAAGCCCGTCTATAAACCTCTACTTAAGCATGTAGAGTAGAAGTGCGCCGCATTTCCCCTTCTGCACCAATCAGAATTGCCATACTCTTACCCCGAATTCCCCCTATAGAAATGCGCCGCATTTCCATTTTGGCTCAAAAGTAAGAACACGAAACATGCCGCGTGTCTTCCATGACGGTCCGTGCCAACCATGCTGCAGACCGCGCTCTTCCGAATCTAAGTGTGTAGCAATTTCCGCTTTGTGAATTGTGAAGGAAGGAGCAGCAATTAAGGTTTCCCTTTCTTCTTCAGGTAAACCTGCTTTAATAAAGATTATCCTGCACTTACGATGCCTTGGTAACTTTATTAATATGACAGATCTAGCGACACCTAAGATCGACTTTAACCTCTTTGGTAGTAGCCAGATTCTGCTCTTCAACCTGTTCTGTAATGTTCTTACCTTTTCATTTTCTTATAGGGTTTTGGAATAGTGTGCGGATAAAAGCCCAGTGAGCTGCCTGCCATACCCCCTGTAGTTTCGCTGTCATCCAGTCCTTTCCGTTTCTGCCCTCGCTTATCTACCAACTCTACTATATTAACTGTATGCAGTAAGTCACCTAGCATCGAACTATCTCTTTGTTGGTTTTGATCGGGATAGTTCGGTCTCGATTTCTTAGTTGGGTCGCCTACCCTCCTATTGCCTCGGACGTCGGTGGAAACCGCAATGTGATGCTCGATGGCTTTATTGAAGCCCTCTAGCATTAAGACACTGAGTCGAACCCCGATTTTCTTGACCTGCATTAGATTGCGTATGACTAGGCTTTTCGAATCTTCTTCTATTCCAAGCGTAATTGTATGTCGCCGTATCTCCGAAAAGGCTACTAAATGGCATATACTGATAAGAACACTTGGTTCAGGTGAAAATGGATTTGAGGTTAATGAGCCAGAGCATACTTGTTCCCTTCGAGAGAGCATATAGTACCTACATCGGACTTAGAGAACTCGACGGAAACAGACTAGTAGTCCGAATCTGATGATACGAAATATATTAACATCAATATCTGCTTTTACCCATTCTCAGTAGGGTCCTGCTGTACCATCTTTTTCCTTATCCAGTTCAAGCTTTAACGTGCTCTACATAGAATGGGCTCTAATAAATTCAATCTAGAGATAGATATTCCCAGGCTTAATAGCAAAGTCATCCTAATCACTGGAGGACACTCTAGATTGGGAGTTAAAAGTGCGCAGCAGCTTTTGAAACATAATCCTATAAAGATCTTCCTTACTTGCTACAGTAAAGCAAAATTCAATTAAACTATTAGTGAATTACAAAATGAAGGAGCTAAAATTAATGTAGTGTACTTTCTAGCTCTAGATCTTGCCGTATTCTTAAGCATTAAGTTTACTGTAAATGAATTCTAGGTATCCTCTACTTGCCTTAATATCCTTGTTAATAATATTGGTATTATGATAACACTTGAGGGTCTTACTAAAGAAGGCTATAAGATCCAGATTGGCATAAATCATATATAATATGCCATCCTAATGCATCTTCTCCTTCTGAATCTCAAAGAAACCACCAAGGTCAGCTCTAACATCAGGATAATCTTCCTGGCCTCAGTTAGAGAGACAATGGCTCCAAAGTATCCTTATAAGTTTAAACAGTTCAAGATTACAATGCTAAGCATTAGCACTATAACTTGCTATGGTATATCGAACCTTGAAAACATTCACTATGCTGCTACCCTCGCTCAATAACATCGAAACATGAAAATAATTAGTGTCTATCCTGGAATTGTTCGAACAAACCTCAACGGACCTGCCATCGAGAGCAGCCTACTATGTATTTCTATCAGGAATGCGGCCCATTCCCGCTTCTGCACCAATCACCTTATCGTAACTATCCTAGTGCTCTAGACTAAAATTAGTTCTACGTAGAAATCATTTGATTTGTGTCAAACAACCTATAGTAGAATTGGCTTGTACTGGGGAGTAGAATTTGATTTCTCGGCTTACCTAATAGGGAGTAGATATGAATTTTGCAGGGGGTAGACTGTATTTATGCTAGAGGTAGACTTCATTTAGACCAGGATTAATTAAATTGATGGTAAGATGCGTAGTTAGTGAGAAGACGCGATATGTGTTATTTACAGAGTATATTAACCAGTAAAAGCCGTCTTTGATGGTTTATAGAGATCCTTCCCCTTGACTAAGACTAAGATATAGGGAGCATATACCTAATCGCCGTGTAACAAGTTTCTTGCTAATGAAGACAATGGGCCTTAGTAAACAGCCTTAATCGTCCAACCTAATCTACCTATTAGTTATTCTTCCAGAATATTAACTTTTGATTTGCGCCTAGTGCGGATTTGCAACCCTACTCTTCTATTCCTAATTGCCGCCTGCCTCTACTGTACTAAGTACTGCTTGTAATTTTTTACCTGTGCACGCTGATTGGTCTTCGAATGCAATACCTTACCTCCCAGAACACACGTGACCTATCTGCGGGGCTCTCAACACCTTCCTAGAAAGTTATGCCGTATATTTGCTTACGATTTCTTCATTCACAACAGCTCCGTCCCTGAAGTCCTCGTTAAGCCATGGCCAGTCTACTTTCGCTTCCTAATGAAGTCTCTCTCCTTATCCTTAAACAAGTCTATCCCAGAGATTGGCTTTCCCTTAGGCAAACATGCAAGGAACTTAAGGCAAAAACAGCTCATCTCGTCACCGAGTTCTTCTTCTATATGCGTGTGGCTATGCTCGAACGGAGAAGTCTATAGTGTCTTGAGAGCATTTTAAAAAGTGAATCGCTTAGTCAGTCAGTGCGGGAGGTTGAAATCTGCACCAGCTATCTGCTACCGCTCGATGAGGTGGAGGAGATTGAGCTACCGTATTGTGAGTATGAAAGCATGATGAAAAGCCTAAAGGGCAAGGTTATTCCGGATTCCTTGGTCGAACACGGCATAGACTATGACGATTGGTACAAAAAGTGGCACATTAACAATGCAGAGGTCGAATCAAGTGATGAGGAGGAACGGGACGAGTATGACAATCAAGGGGATTAATCTGGACAAGAGAGCGAATATGATATTAGCGAAAGTGGCAGCCTTACAAGAAATCGACTGGAGCAACTCAATATGAGAGAGTACCAGAGACATCTATATGATCAGGCAGATATGATGCGGACCGGTTATGACGTGGAATGCCTGACGCAAGCCTTGGCACGGCTCAAACGCTGCAGAGAGATCAGCATTAGCACCAGCATATAGGCTTGGGGATTGAGGCGGCTGAGACGCCGCATCGGCATCTTGCCGCAGAGGGGACTCACGTTCCAGTCGAAGGAGAGCATCCGATAAGTCCACCACATCATCCAGGTTGTTTTTACCGCCATAGCAGCTAGTGGGATTTCGGTCGAGCTCCTAAACATCGAACCTAACTCGATGCTTATGGAAGCAAATCGGATTAACCCATTCATGCTTATGGGCCCATCGTCTGCTATCTTATCCAAGTCTTCCCCTGCCAGTCTGCGCCAACTCCGGATCTCACTCGATCCAGAGTCTCCTCTAGACGACACGACTGCAGGCAGGAAGTGGGGACCTGATCTAATTCGGTTTATGTATCTTTTACCGAAGCTTTCTGATCTCGAGCTTAACTTCCAGCCTCGGGATAAGGCAGGACGATTCTCCGAGATCGCCAAAGAGCTTTATATTCCCACACTGAAGAGGATAAGTCTTATCTGTATTGATACTGCGGCAGAAGACTTAGCAATCTTGCTAATGCGGCATTACCGAACGCTTGAAACAGTGGATCTAGATAACATCCAGCTTAGTGGGGCTCTGACATCCTGGCGCTGGCTTATTGAGATTGTTTGGAGTAGTCTAAATCTTGAGAGGCTGTGCATTACGTCGAGCCAGGCCGAGAGGGAAGCTGAGAATAGTGTTAGTAAGGCAGAACTTGATGATATTGAAGTGGTTGGCAACGATAGTCTTACTGCAGCTATAAATATGTTAATTAGTAAGTAGAGTATTATAATAACGCTTAAAAGAATTCTAAACAAGGAGCGCGCTTAATAATATATAAGGCAAGTTAAGAAAGGGCACGAAAGCTTATAATAACTCTTTTAATACTTTCGAGGCTAAGTTGCTTTGAAAGTCTGCTAATAGTAAGCATATCCGAGTAGACTCTAACGGCAGTTGCTTTACTCTAGCCCATCATTGGTATCCGAGAAGCCAAGCTCCTTAAATTCACCTTGCAATTTTGCTTATATACTTCTTAAGAAGAATAGAGTTATATCTTTTACTTATATAAAAACTATATATTAGTAGTTATATATATATTTATACTTCTAGATAAGTATATATCTAGGTTAAACTTATTACTAATATTAAGGTATTTATATACTACTTCTATTTAATTAAAAATTATCTTTAAATATTAATATACTTTAGATATATATATTTATCTATAAACCTCTTTAACTACCTAATTACTAAGTCTTAGTTTTAGTAGTTAAGATAGATTAGTAGACCTATCTAATTAAATACTAAATACCTTAATATTACTTAGTATCTTATTAATATAATTACCTGTAGTAGAAAGGTATAGGATATATATAATAATATAATAAATAGTAAGGAATTAAGATAATAGTAAATTAATGCTCTTATCCTTAATAAGGAAAAGGGTTTAAGTAATTAGGATATCTTCTATAAGACTAGGCAGTAAAAATATGCCTATATAATATATATATAGTATATCTCTAACTGGCTTAAAATAAATATAAAAGTTATTAAAAGATATATAATAACTTAAAGTTAGTATTAAAGTATTAAATAAATAATTAATATTAATTCCCTTAATTAAATAGGCAATATTACTATTAAATATATTAAGTATTATTAATACTACTACTTTTAAAAAGTTCTATTATAGAGTTAGTAAAAGTAAGATTATAAGGTTTTAAATTCTTACTAGCTCTTTAAAAAAGTTAAGCTAAATAAGAAAGTATAGAAAAATATATATAACCTCTAGATAGTTAAACCTTTACCTAGGATTAGCTAAAGGAATACTATCTTAATTAATAGCCTTATTTCTGCTATATTGCTAGAAGCGCTTTAGAGCTTTAGTTTTATTAAACTTTTATAAAATAATACAGTAATACTAGTCTTATATAAGGCAAGTACCTCTTAAACTAGCTAGATACTTTAGTATCCTAAAAAAGATATAGTTTTAGTATTAGGTTTTTATAATAGCTAAGTAAGATACTAGTATTAGTTATAGTATCTTTTTAGTTAAGGCTTTTACTATTAAGGTATTAGTAATAGGCTAGGATATTAGTTTAAAGTAAAACTATATATAAAAGAAAGAAGTTATTAATTAGATAATTAGTAAATTTATATAAGAGGGTCTTTAATTAGCCTTAGTATATAGTATCTATAAAGTTTATATCCTCTTTAGATAAAATTAATAGTTTTAAAAACTTAAAAATAATAATTAAAATATTATCTTTAGATACTTAATTAGTAAAATATTTATAAGTAAAGCAAATAAGCTTTACTTTATTATATTAGCCTTAACCTTATTTAATATTATTGCCATTAAAATGCTTAATAACTTAATAAAATCAATAAGTAATAGAGGCGCGATTAGACTCTAATAAGTATTCCTGTAATAAGAAGTTTATAATACCTTTTAGAGATAATTAATAATAATAAAGTGGAAGAGCAGGCGGCACTATTGTGTTAAGTAGTTTAGGTAATAATATTAAGTTTTCTTTATTTTAATTCATATTTATTGCAATTGCAAAAAGCAGGGCGATGTTAGAAACGTCTTAGATCAACGATGAACCGCGTATGGGTGGGGTATTATGTTCCTTATATTGTAATCTTATCGCTATCGATAAGATTGGAGCTATCCTATCCTACCCGCAATGGGTGCAATGAATTGTAGTAGAGTTTATAGAAAAACCCATATAAAATGAAAAGGCGCTACTGTACGCAGTCGTGATGGTAATTCGACGAAATACAACAAAACTGGCCCGTGCACGTTGCTGGGTCCTAGTAACTAATGACCAAATCAACTCTACTAGAGTTGGTTTTATTGACCCACTTTAAACCTAGTAGGGTTGATTATTGCCAGGGTGTAGAGTTGATTTGACTTTATCCTGTATACAGGAAGGAGAGTGCTGATCAGAACAGGGGTTTGCCAGGGGTTTGCCACAGAACGCGACGCGTCCTGTCGCGTAAAGTGCTATCTCTTCAGGCGGCATAAAGCTCCGGCGGGGTCACGACAGGGGTATAGGACCTATCAAAATGAGCGCTACTTGAAGTACATTCTCACACACCTAAATTTGCGTGTGATAGAAGTACTAGCAGTCAGCCGTGTTACAAATAGCTACATCACATACTTTGCAGCCGTACACGGTCTGCACCCTTCGTTCATTTCCTGATATCGGCTGGAGATAACCTCCTTTTTCCTTCTTCCTTTTAAAGGGTCGGGCCTGACCCTGCCGGAAGCCTTTGCAAGCTAGGCAGCTTGAATGTATGCCCCGATGGACATGATTGATATCTCTTTGTAGGTGAATTTGCCGTGCTTCTGTATCCTCGATATCTTCTTCTATTCCTGTATGGCCTCTCTTCCTTATATGACTTTCAGTTGCGTATCTGTTAAAAATGGCATTATAAATGCACTCCTTCCAAGCTTTAAGCGTGCTATAGGGCTTCTAACGAGGCTGCCGTGTTTTCTTCTGTAAAATGAAGCTATTCGCAAGTGCGACTTTAAGGAGGAAAGACCAAAGCAACGCTTGCCAAGGACCGCGCCGGAATCGGTGCTGATATGTTGTATAAGACCGTATCTGATCGCCGCGGTCAACGTGATTCATTTTATCGTTATACTGAGCGGCAATAGTAGGAATAGGGATTATCTTGAAGCTATCACCATTGAAGACCTGCTGCAGGCGCTGTGACTCTGCCTTTGTGCCTCTTTTGGCGGGCTTTTTCCTCTTTTTTGGTATGCGCTTGTGAGGGGCTCCGCTAAGCATAGTTGAAAGGAAGAGCACGATGCTGCTATCTTTCCAAGCGATTTGGATGACCTAGGGAGCAAGGAAAAGGACAAATTAGTAAGGGAAATACAGGTAAAGCTATCCATACCTGTTTATCTTGTGTCGGGATTAAATATACCTTATTATATTGCAAAGCTATACTGTTAGGAGCTTTTCCGGTCTCTTTTATATGCTTTATCTCGGTGGTGATGCCGCAGTTAGGGCGTGCCGTGCCTGTGGCACCGTGGCCAAGCTGCCGAAGAAGGCGGAAGAGCTGCGGCGACGAGAAGAGGTTATCCGTGAAGACGTGATGTGTCTGCGTTGATAGCCTTTTTAGTAGGTAAACCACGACGCTTTGTGTATTGTTGAGAGGAATCTCGGTCCGTAGCTTTCCCTTCTTGCCATATGGCGTTGGTGTAGGTAGCTCGACTATAACAGCCTTGTATGGTGATGCCTTCACGTGCCAAAGCCACTGCAGAAAGAAGCCCTGTTGGGCGATAACCTAGACTTTGAACCCTACGGGCGTGGGTTTATTCTTGACGACTGTTGTCTCTTTTGATCTGCCTGTAAAAGGGATCATACACTCATTTACAGTGAGGTTAGTCCCTGGAGAATAGAGCTCGATAGATATGCTTTGTATGTGATTAGACCACTCTTTAGCTGCTTGGAAGGTCTTTGGAAGGTCGCTCTTATCCCTCACATCGAGCTTGGTGTAGTTAAAAGTGCGGAAATACCTCGTGATTAGCTCGAACTTCCGTAATGGCATGAACTTGATGATTGAGTGAAGAGGGCGCTGATCTCCTAGGCTAGGGGACTTCCAATGGTCTTTGATCGATATTTCCCTATGAATTCCTAGGTAAATAAGGACCCCAAGCCATACATAAGCTGTTGCGGTGGAGATGCCTTCCCACTTGAGAATGCGGGACTGTTTGGAAAGGGGGGTATTCCAGTTATCAATAATGCCATTTTCAAGTAAGTGAGTGACCTAGCTATTGGTGTATTTAATCTATGACTGTATAAGGGAAATAGGTACGAAAAGCTGGAATAATTCAAGTGGTTCCTTGGGTAGAGGGTTGATCTTGAAATCACGATATTCTAGGTTGAAAGGTTGAAAATCATCACCGCAGCCCTCTTCGGGCGGAAAATTAGGCACGCCGGTAGGGTCATCAGCCGCCCTCAAAGGCGGGGTATTAAAGCTGTGATTATCTATATAATCAGGTATCTCTTGGGAGCTCATCGTTTTAATTAAGATGCGTTAGGGTCAATTTATATGAGGATTTTGACGATTTTGGCTGTGTTGAATGAAGAAGCTGTCTGACGAGAACTTCACGTACCCCGCAGGTACTAGTGTTGTTAGTAAGCAATGTGGGGCGAGTGACCTGCCGGAGCCTTATGCCGCTTAAAGAGATAGGGGTATAGCATACTCTAAATAGTTTTATTATTAATTAAAGCTTAATCGTTATTTAGTCTTACTATCAGTAACTAAGTCACTATGACGATCACTATGACGGCTTCAAACTGGCAACCTGAACCATGCAGTGCAATTTATCCCTACGTTCTCTTAATATACCGCTTTCTTATCTATTAAGTATATGTTTGCCTCTATTATTGATAAGGTTGCTACTTATTTAAAAACACGATATTATAATTTAAAGCCATAGTATCGATAGGGCCTAGTAGAGAAGATTTAAAAGATCCCGATATATTCTATGTAATTATAATAAACTACGTAATCTATAGTACCTAACTAATATAATTAAACCTATTCTGCATCTTGCGCTATAAGAACTAGATAGGATAAAATATTATGCATGCGGCTATATTGTTTATTATATCTAAAAGATATAAAAACATTATGCTAATGAGTATTAATGGATGAATATAAGAGGCAGAGGTAATTAAAGCTTAAGAGGAGGGGAGGTTAGGATAAATAATAAGGCATAAAGAGATAGAGGTATAACTTCTAAATTAGTAAATTATAGA